ACAGTGCAGTTGTTTAATCATCGGTAATCACCACATGGACGCCAGTACGTAAGGGAGTTTTTGACAAACCATATGCATAAGGGGCCCATGGACTAGTGGAGGGCCGAAATAGGCCAAGTTTCATCATATGACTGAATTCAACCCCGACGATAGCTAACTTGTCAGCTGCTAAACGACGAGGACGGCTGGGTACGGTTGGTCGCGTAGTCGAAATATAATTCATGACGGAATGTTTAATCGGCTGGTCAAATTGCGAAGGCCGGGCGATAGATGGCAATTCCAAAAGCAAACGTTAACAAGGAGTAGACGAAGGTATCGTTGAAGTGCATGGGTTAGGGGATGAAAAAATACTAGCTGAGCAATTAGAATACAGGGATGTAATCGGGCCGATAAGTTTATGGGAACTGGTATAAACGAGTAGAACGAAAAAGGAGATAAAATCGGCACTGACAATGGCGGTAGGAACATCAGCAATAGTAAATATCCAGCGGAAAGTACGTTGTAGTCTAAGGTCTAAAGTTAGAAATCGCTGAAGAAATGTTCTGATGAGTGTATTACTTGATGCCTGGAGGAAAACTGAAGAGTTAAGTGACTTACTATCAGTCAGAGGGTGTGGAATGAGACTGATGTCTGCACCAGTGTCTACGAGGAAAGTACGTGCGAGGAAAGCGTGCGTTCATGGACTTTGAGGAAGACGCTTTCGCTAAGACCTTTGGAACATTTGTTCGGTCGCACGTGGAGAACGGCAAACATGCCTGGAGACCGTGGGAGGTGGAGGATCAATACTGCCTCGAAAGAGTTCAGAGGAGAGCCACGAAGTCGGTTAGGGATCAAAGCTCCTTTCATTATGCACCCCGCTTAGTAAATCTGAACCTCTTTCCTTTGAGTTACAGGCGACTTCGCGGGGAACTCTTTGAAACATTCCGCATTGTAAAGGAGTTGGATTGCAGCTTGACCTTCGAGGATTTTTTTGAATTTGCTACCACAACCAACTTCCGAGGTCACCTGTTTAAACTGCGCACACAGGAGGCATGGCTGGGTGTGCAGAAGTTCTCATTCTCTGTTCGAGTGGCCAAACAATCAATACAAAATTTTAAAAAGAACCTCGAGCTATTCATACTCCGAAATGAGGAAGAGCGGTGAGAGATCGGGCTCATCCCCTGTGACTTACTCCAATTTTGTCCTACCATTGCGGGCTCGTTTGAACTATTTCAACCCAGAAACGCTTTCTGTACACCACACATCTTTACGTTGCAACTAGGGTACTCAAAGACTTAAGCCTATTTCGCTCAATAAACTGAAATGAACTCATGTCGAAAATGTGAAGCAAGCAATTTAGGGAGGTTGAGCCGACCAATTTTGTCGCCGTTACTTGCCGGCAGGTGCGTTTTTCCACCGAAGGTTTCTCGTAACGGCATGGGAGTTGGCAGCGATGGGCTTTTAACCCGTAGGTGTCGTGGTTCCAGCAGAAACTGTCCGGTGTGAACGGGGTTGACACTGCAGTGGGCGATCTCTGACGGCGAGAAATTGATGGATTGCAAGGGCGAGAGACACGTGAAGCACGAATCTGGGAAACTGCAAGTGTGAGGTCGTCTAGGCGTTTCATGACATCCTCAATTGTGGACGCAATGGTGCCTCGACTAGCAACAGTTACCGTAACAGGAGGCTGGTAATACTCGAATATACGATCAGCAGTCTCTGCGAGCATCTGAACCGTCGAAGAAGGAATGTTAGGCACAAGGATGGATTGCACAGAAGTGGGCAGCCGTTGGAGAAAAAGTTACTTGAACATGGTGGCATCCAGCTTTTTCCCGTTTGCCAGCTGCTCCAAACGCCTAAGAAGCTGCGTAGGCGTAATGCCACCGAGGTCCTCCTCAGAAATTAAACGTTGCAGACGTTTTTGTGCTAATGGGGAAATGCGGGAAATGAGGGCCTCCTTTAGGGCAGTATAAGGGGCTTTTGTGGGTGGGCAATCTAGGATGTCGTGAAGGTCGAGGGCGATATCCATTGGGCATGCTGCCACAGCGTAGTCGAATTATGTATCCTCTCGTATAATCTGGCGGAGAGCGAAACGCGCAGCCACAACGCGATGTCACCAAGCCACACGGCTGGCAGGTCAAATACGTGAATATCGGCTATCGTCTGACGGGTAGAATCGTTGACCATAATTGGCCGATGTCGGTCAGAGGTCAAATAATAAGGGTAGATGACTGGCGCGTCGACAGTGAGATTGGAATGTGGCACTCATATTCGATGAAAAGGTGACACAGCGTGAATAGCAACTAAGGGCTAGATAAATAATCTAAGCAATAAGGGTAGGGTGAGGGTGAATCCAAATGGAAATACTTATGCACAGAAATGAAACCGAAGGAGTTATGAACGATACGGGGTCACCAATGTAGGTGATAAACCGGTCCATCGCGGGTAGAATCAGGAAGAACAAAGTAGTAGCAAGAATGCAACATGACGAAAACGTGATATTGAAAGTTGCAAAGGTTCCTTGGCGCATTAAAAGAAGACGCTTTTCCCTGTCACAACAACGTCAAGAACCGCGAAAATCGTCACTGTAGGTGAGGGACAATAACAGTGGGTTTAGTAACCAATAAAAAACAGGGGATTGTAAAGATGTAAGCAAGAGTTTCCATTTGAGCACATAAAACATGTATTTTCTACATCAAACCCTGGGAGGATCCTTCTTAGAATAGAATATAATAGATTTATTATAGCGTCCCTTGGGCACTGCCAGTCTCCCTTGAACACAGGAAAGAAACCTTAAACAAACTCATCCATTTCGACTGCACTTAATTTGTTTTGGGTGTCTGTTTAGTCAACAGAGCGCGAATTGAGAATTTGTTTTAAGTTAAAAAAACCTGAGTTCCAAAGAAAAATAATCATAAAAGTCTTAAGAAAGAACGAGATATACAATATAAAAATTGAAGTGTGCAGTTTGGTTCTTTCCGGGGGGGGGCATGAATAATATGTCCTTCATAGAAATTACAGAACTTTGATATGGACCTGAACTTGACAGTACTTTCCAGTGGGGTAAATTTAGGTGTGTTCTAGTTGGTGGTTGTCAGTCTATCTTGTAACGGGCCTAACCGAGACGAGGACCAATAGCGCTACGCTACGTCCCTTATGATCCCCAGTAGGAAGGAAAGACGGGCTCCTAAGGGGAGTTTGGGGGATTATGTAGGAACGACAAAAGGCGACATTAGGAGTTCGGAAACACTGGGATGTCCTATGGCAGGGATAGGCCTGTTTGGATGCAAGCCTTATTGGGTCCGGTCCGCGGAGACGACGCAGGAGCGGCGGTGGCGTCCAGAAGGCGTTCTTCGGTGCAAGGGGTAGTCAACGTCAATCCTCTTCGGTTTTTATAGGGCCTCCAGACGATTTGGATAGGTTCACACCACAAGAGACAAATGGGTATGCGTAAATCAATTGCAAGAATACTGGAAAGTAAATCATATCCAATAGGATCTTCGGGACTGTTTTTATTGGCATTTTGGCCTAGACTAGTCTCTACTGGATCGCTGATAGGTAAACCGAAATACCCAATGGTTAGTCGAAAATTTTTGACTTAATTTGGCGAGATCCAATAAGATCGACAGTTAAGTGTCCTGGAGCAATAGAATTTGAGAAGCTAAAATGGCAAACTTGCGTGTGCCATCCAATGGGAACGCCGAGCTTTGTACTAACAATGTGTTAGCCATCTTAGCCTAACTAGCGAAAATTAGGAAAATTTTGCTCCATCTTTACAATCTGGCCAGCTGTAAAGGGGCGGTCGCACATTTCCTTCGTGTTTTTCTGGAGGCTTGCCATAATTGTCTGGACTAAGAGCTGGAAAAGACGAATATATATCAGGAGTAAGAAACATTCAATGGTAGGTCACAATCAAAGCTGTCAAAATAATATTGAATCATGTATCATATTTTTCGTGTGAATGTGACATTATAGAGTAGTGGTCGACTGTTTACTACGATCTAATATAGTTGTATATATGTTTAATACGGCCCAAATATAGACTTACGTACAACTAATATGTACGGTTTTATCGAAAGGGATGTTATTATTAGCTCCTTAAGGGATATTTAGTGTCAGGTGACATAACTGATAGAAACGATAAAGTGAGGAAAGAAAGAATATCACTATCTGTTCTATATTTCTCAATGATGCTGTCTTTCATAAATTTGATTGTTTTGGTGCTATGTTCCGGTGTTATTCGAGCAGCGGCAATCATCAGAGCCCTTTCGGACCAAATTCTGTATCAAAAAATTGACTTGAAAGGTGTCCTATCTTAATGAAATATAAATGTGTATTGTTGTTTAAGGGAATTTCTTAGTTTTTACTTTAAACTCGATTATGGTTCGACTTTTCCGGACAGAACTTGGAAGAGCATTCCGGATAGTGGCATATCTTATGGTGTAGAAATTTGGCCGTTGAGACTTTGTGAATTTGGGTATCCTTATAATATCTTCGTTATTTTTGGTGTTTCTGGGGGAGTTTTAGTTTGTTAGTAAATTCATTTTGAGAAACTCGTTCATAGGTGACCTTGAATAGGAAGTTCAGACCATTTTGGAGTCTTCTGATCCAGAGGGGTCGAAGACCGTATTTATGATATAGTTCTAAGTATGAACCCTGGGTGCCATCACTTCTGGATAAAGATCTAGTAAAACGTCTCTGAATGCCTTCTAGTTTCTTTCGGCCGTCTGAGGGCATTATACCGAAGAAAATTGAGCAATAATCTAAGAGAGGTAGAACGTACTTTTTGAAAAGTTGTATTTATAGTGCATTTAAGGTGAAATTTTTACATATGAATCCATATATGCGAGTAGCTTTCGGTGATATTTGTTGGACGTGGGGAGATAAATCAAGGGTCTTTGTATAGCTAAGGTCAAAATATTTACCGATTGGGTCTCCGTTATTTCATTATCCTCGAAAATTATGGAGGGGAGGTTTTGCGGGCCAACGGTCAGGAGATGGAATTTTTGGGTGAAAAGGGCATCTGCCATTGACTAACCCATTCGCTGAGTTTTCTAAGATGAGTTTCACTTGTTTTGTGATTATTGACGACTGTGTTCCCGTTATATGCATATGCAAGTTTAAGGTCGTCCGCATATAAAATCGATATTGAGATAGACGATAAGTCGTGAATATATATGACAGTTAAGAAGCTGAGTGTTCGGGAGTGAGACGATCAATGACGACTTTATGCTTTGCGGCTTAATTTCTACTTGAATACCGATAACTTGGGGCATGGTCTAAGTTCTGGCGGAAGATCATTCTAAAGGAAGTCATATATGGATAAAACAAAGAGGGAGCGTTCAGAAGTAGAGCAAAGAGGCGGCGGAACCGTCATGGAGAAATTACACCTGGCACGAAACTGATCTCTCGGAGTGAGGGCGCCAATGAGCGGAAGACTGAAGCTGGAGTTAATGCGAAACAGGAGGTAAAGGCCAGCTTCCAGTCTTCTAATCTACAAAAGCTTAATGTCCGCGAGCTGACATCTGTCAGTATAAGAAGTACTGGATGCAGCTTGAAAGATGGGTTTTCGAGCAAAAACTCTCTGGACATTTCCGATTTTATTACGGTCAAAGGCGTTCATTAAACCAAAGAAAGGACAGCAGTATTCGAGGACTGGAAGAACAAACATTTGATAAAATCTTAGCTTCATTTCCAGAAGGAAAAAATTATGCGATATGAATCCACATATCTGCGCGGCTTCGGCAGAGATTCTATCTGCATTAGGTGATAAAGCGGGCTTATTTTTATAACTTAAACCTAGGTCCTTTATGGTGAAGCATTCCGAGAGTGGGTTATCCTGAAAAATTATGGTACCTGGAAGTTTTGCAGCACCAAAAGACATGAAATTACAGTTGGATGATGAAAACTCCATCTGCCATGTTTAACCCCATCTGCTTAAGTGTAGTTAATCGGCATTAATTTTTTCAACACAAACATTTGCGGTGTCCTTAAAATATGAGTAAACACATTTACGAACTTGCTATACACAATGCAAAGTTGGACACGAGCACTGGACGCAAAACACACCGTGCATGTTGCATATATTGATTTCCGGAAGGCGTTTGACAGTGTTCCGCACCAGCGTCTCCTACACCAGTTGAGAATTATGGGCATCGGTGGCAAACTTCTCAAATGGATCGAAAATTTCCTTGTCGGCCGCTCCCAAATTGTCTGCGTAGAACAACAGCAATCAAGGTGCACATTCATAGAGAGTGGGGTCCCACAAGGCTCGGTGCTCGGACCAACCCTCTTTCTCTTGTTCATCAATGATTGTGTAGATGGGTTGGACTGTGATTGTGCCATGTTTGCGGACGACATAAAAATCTGGAAAGTCATCCACAATGTTGCCGATGAGACCAACTTCCAAGAAAATCTTTGTCGATTGGACGAGTGGTCCCGCAGATGGCTCTTGTCCTTCAATTTGAACAAATGCACCATTCTGCGCCTCGGAAATCATACCCCTAGTACGCGGCAATACCATCTGTACGGAATGCCACTCCGAGAAGCAGAAACGCAGAAAGATATCGGAGTCTGGGTTGCAGACAGCCTTAAGCCTTCTACGCAATGTTGTAAGGCGGCCAAGGCCGCAACTTAAATGCTATATGCCATCAAGCGGGCATTCGTAGTTTTCGATGAAGACTGCTTCACCAAAGTCTTCGGCACGTTTATAAGGTCCCATCTCGAATATGCAATTCAGGCCTGGAGACCGTGGACGCATCAGGATTACGATCTGCTCGAAAGGGTGCAGAGGCGAGCCACAAAATTAGTCAGAGGTCAAAGTGCACTGCCATACGAGATCCGCTTAATTAACCTTAATCTCTATCCTCTGAGTTATAGGCAGTTGCGCGGAGACATGATACAAACTTTCCGTATCGTGCGCGGCTTGGATTGTGCCCTTCGGCGCGATGACTTTTTCCAACTCGCCACTACAACTCACCTCCGGGGACATCCCTTCAGGCTACGTGTGCCACAGGGTAGACTGAATGT